CCCAAGTGCAATTCACAATGAAAGACAATGCCACCCAATTGCGAAAGAAATGAAAGCACTTGCAAAGAGATAAAGACCAGAGAAGAGAGGGGAAGCAGAAGAAGAAGAAGAAGAAGAAGAAGAAGTACACCAGCAAGACCAATGACAATTCCCCCCTTCTCTCTCCAACCTCCTCCTCCTCCTTCACTTCACCAATCTTATTCTTCTCTCAATAATAATAATAACAATGAATGGATGAACCAGAAAGGTCCAGAATCAATATCCGAAGTTCCTTCTTACTGCTGACTCAACTCCACAACAACAACAACAACAACAACAACAACAACAACAACAACAACGACAACAACAACAACAAGCCTACCATAGTTATGGCTTCCCTATTTCAGTCTTCCCTCTCATGCACAGGCTATGGCGGACTGATGAGGGCCCTGCCCTCCTGTACAAAACACAACCCAAAGCAGCTATGGTGCTGCCGATGTCCAAAGGACAACCCAAGAGCAACTATGCCGCTGCTGACTGGACTGCTCGTCATAGCCAGGCTGAGCTCCAGCGGTCCCTTCTCCCTCCAAGCAGCGATGTACCTGGCCTCCTGGGCGGTGACTTCCTAGGCCGAGCGGCCTCCCAGCAACCGGTACCTCCTCCCTTTCGGAGGGAAACATCATTGCAGGCTCTGCTATCCTCCGGACAGGCCCTAGACCCGGGCTACTTGGACTGGTACCGGCCTACCTCTAACCTACAGCCTACCGCTACTGGGCCTCTAAAAATGCCAACTTTTTGTCTTCTTCTGCTCGGCCTTCAGTACGACACTCATACCACTACTCGAGTGGTACCGTCCTACCTGCTACTCGAGTGTTTCCCCCCTACTCTAAGTAGTGTGGGCCTACCCCCCCTACTTGACTGTCTACCCCCCCTTCAACCTTGACAGTCACGGCCACAGGTAAGTACTGGCCCTGCGGGGCCTTGCAAACAACAAGTACCCTTGCGGGTCACACACACTCAACCGACAAGCACACAGACAGCCATGCAAAGCAGCAGGCACGCACACACACACACAGACATGGAAATCACAGCTAGTGGGACCTCCAGCGCACGGCTATTGCGGCCGCAGCCCCCGTCGTTCGCTTACCCGTCAAACGACGAAGCCGTTCAACGGGGATTAAACTCCCGTTCAACGGGTTCAACGGGGATACAACGGACGGGGTCGGAGACAAACCCCTGTTTTTTAGTTCACGTCGCCGGCGCTGCGTGCCCGGCGGCCGTTGCGCGCGGTCCGTTGAACCGAGTTCAACGGAAACCGCCCGTTGTATCATTCAACGGGGATTCAACTCGGGTCTTGTGCCCATTCAACAGGTACAACGGAGTTGAAAAAATCCCGTTGATAGTTGAATGGACACACAACTTGGAGCGCTGTGAGATGCGGGCTTCAAGATCGCCCTCGAAAAGAGCGAGTTTTTCCTGTCGAAAATCTCATTCCTAGGGTACGTGGTGACGCGAGGGGGCTTGAAGCCGGATTCGAGAAAAGTCGCGGCAGTTCGAGACGCTCCGACACCCACGTCGCTAACGCAATTTCGGGCCTTCTTGGAACTAGCCTCGTACTATCGTCGATTTATCAAGGGTTTTGCGGCAATCGCACGGCCCCTGACGAACCTCTTGTGAAAGGACCAGCCATTAAGGTGGGACGTTGAGTGCGAGCAGACCTTTGCCACATTGAAGGAAGCCTTGGCCACGACCCCTATTTTGATCCGGTCCGACCCCGAGAAGCAATTTGTACTCATCACTGACTGGCAACCGGAGGCGATCTCCGCTATTTTGGCGCAAAAGGGGAAAGACGGCCGCAAGCACGTCATCGAGTACGCATCTAGGACAGTACCAGACGAAAGGAGAAACAATTCGGCACCTCAAGGAGAATGCTATGCGGTGGTGTGGGGGATTCAACACTTCCATCCGTATCTGTACGGACAAAAATTCCTTCTCGTTACGGATCACGAGCTCCTGTTGACTCTCAAGAGGATCACTAATTACACGGGCATGATTGGACGTTGGGCAGTGCGGCTGCAGGAGTACGATTTCGACATCATCCATCGGAAGACGGAAAGGCACGGGAACACGGACGGGCTAACACGACTGCACCGACCGACCAAGGTCACCAAGGGGGAAGAAATCGTCCCGTGGACATAACCGGAACCAGTCAGTGGGCCGCAATATGGACAACTGATCATCCTTCCACGTGCTAAGAAGTGACATGTGACAATGGGCGATGGAGGTAATTCTAGAGGCCCCCTTTCTCCACTCTCGTCCTCGTCTCTCCTCTCTTTGCTTGACAAGTTTTGTTACTTGTGCGAGGCAATCTCGCGCGTCTTCTCAATTCCTATGTGTCCTAGCGGGGAAGGGTACATCGAATGGGTAGATTGTTGGCACTGTGTCTCCAGGGCGCATGCTTCCTGCATTCTGTATCGGAACACGGACAAGGCCTGGTTGAGTCCCTTGTGTCGATCCGACAAAATTCCTATTGAAGTCCGCTTCCTCGAAGCCACGTTGGAGGGTTTAAAAAAGACTCGTAGGTTTAGAAGGGCTGAAGTATGGACAGATGTCGTCTTAATAGCCACCATGGTCGGGAACCCCCTCCGGAACTTCCCCAAAGAGGACCGTAGAAGGGCTAATGAGAGGGCACGGGACTATCGATGGAACGACGAACGGTTGGAAAAACGGAAGACCGACAGTAGTGGGATTTGGATGGACGTGCCCCATCCATTCGTAAGGTATGATTGGGTTAATTCGGCGCACGAAGAGACTGCAGCTCACTTTGCCGTACACGATTATAGAGGCAACAATTGACAAGAACGAATGGTATTGGTTCAATATTCGCGACAATGTTAAATTCATCGTCCGAAATTGTTAGGTCTGCGCCGTAGACAAGGCGCCGATTCAGCCGCCTAGATCGATAGTGCCCACTAAAGTCCAACAACTGTTTCAGAGGGTTAGCATGGATACGACGGATATCGTCGTGCCCCCTGGGCCTAGCTGTGAATATTCAATCCTCTTGGTGTTCGTTCACCACTTTTCAAAATGGATCGAGGCCTACCCATGTCAGACGAGGCAGACGACGGAAAAAGCGCGGTATGCCAACCGTTTCTTCGGGATGCATCAGGACACTGAGGAAATACTTCCGGACAATGGAGCAGAGTTTCAAGGGTAAGTTATGGGGAATTTAGCCATACATGGAGTGTCTATTCGAAATACTGCCCCCCATATGTCTCAATCGAACGGTGTCGTAGAAAACGCCAACCAGGTCATCAAAACGGCACTCCGACGGAATATCACGGCTAGGGACAAGCGACCATGGCCTGATATTGTGGATCATATCTTAGCTCTACATCGAGGGACCCCACATGAATCTGCGGGACTTTCGTCGTTTCAATTACGAACCAATAGCCTAGCTTGCGTCTCGATACTGAGCCTGAACGATGAAACGACACTCGGCCGACGTCCCACAAGAGCAACGACCAAGGAAAAGGCAAAGCGCCATTTGGAGTTTATGGAGCGGGCCCTTTCCAGATTGGCCCGAAAAAGGCAGAGAATGACCGAATTGGCCCACGATCGTCAGGTCCGCAGCTACGAGGCCCGAAATGGGAATGCAGGTCCCCGGCCCCAGTATAAATTGGGGGACTTGGTGCAGGTAAGGAAATGTGTTCGTCAAGGGAAACTAGCACAATGATTTTTCGGGTGCTTTCGAGTGATCGAGCTCGGACCTAACGGAGTGGAAACCGTGCGCCTCGCTCATGAAGTAACAGGCAGACGGTCAGTTAGACACATAGTCCGCCACGTGTCCTATCTTCGCCATCTCTCTGCTCCCTCTCCTCCTTCTCCATCTGGATCGCCCTCAGAATTTGAATCTGAGTGGGAAAGTGACGCTCCCCATTCTCATTTTTCTCCCCATTCATCTTCTCCCTCCTCTTCGCCATGAGTTTTTCC